TACGTGTGTGAACACACACGTGTGTGTGTGTGTAGACACACAATGTTATACTACTCACCTGTAGAAAATGATAAAATTTTGCATTTAAAACAACATGGATCAACTTAGAGGGTTTTATGCTTAGCCAACTAAGTCAGATAGAACAAGCAAATACACGATTTCATTCATATGTGGAAGATAAACAAAACAAAACAAAATCAAAATCTAGATTATAAGAACAAAATTGTGTTTACCAGCGGGGAAAGAGTTAGATAAATTGGACAAAGGGGATCAATTATATGTCAGAAGATGTAAACCAGCCTTTCAGTGGTGAACTTAATGTAATATATACCAAACGGAATTATAGTGCAATACACTTAAAACCTCTGAAGTACTTTAAGCCAATGTTACTTTAATATTTATTTAAAATCCCATATCCACCTCTTGCATAAATGCGTAAGATAATAAATATGGCCATAATTACAAAGTTTGACACGATAAAGGATCATTTTAAAGAAAACTACTGAAACAATGAGCAAAGGCAAGCTTGGTTTTGATGAGTTTAAACATAAAGTTTTAAACTCTTGATTTGGCCATAAACTCATGGTTTTATGAAGAATTGAAACAAATTGCTTATGTTTTTCCTTGGGGCTTGAAAAAGCCAACTATGACAAGAGGCATTTTAGTTCCGTTGTAAGACCAAAAAAATCCTGATATAATGTGTTACTGAAAGAGGTGATGAAGTTCCTAGCCTTGAGTGAAAAAAAATTTTAAACAAATTCACATTTGCCTGGGAGGAAGCAGAGGATGATTTTAATGACCTTTGCCAGCCTAATTCTATCCAATGTTATTATGTTCAAGTTATGTACAAGCTTTTTTTAAAAAAAATCAAAATGTATGACAAAAAGCACAAAAGCAACTGAAGGGAAATGTAAATTGTCTTCAGGGAAATATGCCTTTTGATAAAATGCTATAAGAAATTCATATCATCCTTTTTGTATGTCACTAATGATTTTTTTTGAGATTAATTTTCATTATACCTCCATTAGGAATGATACATTTTATTTAGGTGGGGTGATGATAAAAAATTAACAACACTACTTACTTCATTAGAGGAAAAGAATCAGTTAAACATTTTAATGTTGATGATTGCAAAGACTTAGAAGCAAAATGAAATAATCCTTCGTCATTCAGAAGTACATTCCCCCTTGTTGGAGGTATATTTATTACACTTAATAAAATAGCCAATGAAGACTCAGAACTACTTATAATCAAAAGCAACAATTTGCAATTAAGAAAGAATCCATGTTAAGAAAAATCCTCTTTTATACAGAAATGGCACAAGAAAATAGAAAATAGCTTTTAGTAAAAAGCTAAGAATGAAGAGAAATGGAAGGAATCAGATTTTGTTATATCACAGACAATCTCTCTCTTACTCATCGACTCACATTACAAGGGTCATTTTCCAGTCACTTGTTTAGAAATTCAGAGCATATATTTCTCTACAATCATAGAAGCTACAGGTTAGAAAAAACCTTGAAGATCATTTTGGTCAAGCACTGCCTTGAGATTTAATCACCTCTTCCATTATCCTTACCAAGCAAATAACTTTATAAATGGCAATTAAGACTACAGAAATTACAAAATTGTTTATACCATAAGATCCCTAACATATGTAATAAAGACATAGTTTCACTCTGTGTTGTAATATTTCTATGAAAAAAAAAAAACTTGGAATCTGATCATTGTTTCAATTTGGGGTGTCAGCTACACAGACACAAGACCCAAGCAGGTACATTCCTTACCTCCACCCCACGTGCAGACCCCAGAGGATTGAGAACAAGAAACTTCTGCAGGGCTATAAGTGGTAGGGACCAGGATTTGCACAGTGGGGTGAGAGAAGAACAGGCTAAGACTTAAAGAATGAGGCATGAAAGAGAATGGAATAATGCAAGATGATGAGAAGTATCAAGGTATCTCTTTTACCTTTCTGGATTTTTTCCAATTCAGTGTTACCCCTAGATAGCAAGTCTCTTTTATGAATCCTCCTCCTCACACAAGGAGGAAGTGCTGAGTATCTTATGCAAACATTCAACCATTCATTTATTGACTTAGTTGTGCTTTTTAACTGTTATATAGGCTTTGTACTTGATCACTTTAAAGCTCTTGGTGTTCACCAGCAAGCCAAGTGCCTCTGGAGCCATATACTGTGCTTGTCTAGATACATAACATATATTTGTCACTGGCTCACAAATTATGATAAAATTTGTCCATGGTAAGTGTTAGGATAAGTATTGTTATGATAAGTGTTCACTAAACAAAGAGAAAGGGAAGGCTTTGGAAGGAGGAGAAATAACAGCACTCCCTTTGTGGGGAGAAGGGGGCATCAGAATAGGATTCTCTTTCCTTTAATCTCCTTCCACTTATAACCATCAGCCGAAGCTTGGTAGTGAAGAATGAACAGATTTCAGTAGAGAAATGAGTGGAGAAATGAAGAGATACCATCCTCAAAGATACCTTTTTGTACCAGGAATTAGTGTTTGGAGAGGGAATCTGGAATCATGGTTTCATGATGAGAGGTCTGAAGAGGTAAGAAGAAAGAGAAAAGACAGGAGGAAAGAAATTCCCAATAGAAGCAGAAGAAAACACCCCTTGTATGACACGGACAGTCAGCGGCCACTAAATATCCATGTTTCCCAGTCCCATGCATCAGAGTGGCTCATGGAACGAATTTTTATGAATGGAACATAAGCAGAAACCACAAGCCATTTCCATCTATGAAAGGTTAGAGTGGGTGTTCCCTTTCTGAGATTACTTTTTCCCCTGCCTCACTGACCTTGGATGCCCTTCGCTCTAGATTGAAAGATTACAACATGAGAAGAGCTGTCAGAGACAAACTGAACTTTCTATGAGAGTGAAAAAAGAACTTTTTGTGCAAACAAGTCATAGACTTATTTGTTGTTACCTAGCATAACCTAACTGATACCATATTTCACCCATATGGTGCAGCCATTAATAAAAAAAAAGTTGTTAATCATTTAGATATTAGCTCAGATTTAGATATTAGCATCTCTTCCACAGCTTCTACTCCAAAATTCTAATGCAAATTACCTTGAAGTCAACACTTCCTATTTCTACCTATTACTTAATTAGAATATGTAACTTTATTGCCTAAATGATACTTAAACAATCTACTCTTCTAGATACTCCACAATGTATTCAGGCATGAAGCAAAACCAGCAGAGTCAGGCTTCTTGCACTGACCACCTTGTAGAATCATTCTGATCACAGCATGAGGTCATTATTTCAAAGGGTGTTCACAAAAGACAGATGCGAAACACTGTGTAGAAATTGTGGAGGATTTTGTTCATTATATTGCACCATATCATCTTTACAAGAATCCTCTTAGTAATTTCCTTTCTTGTCTCAATATCAGTAATAGTTGTTCTTCTCCTATAAAATAGAGCAGTTTTAGTACCTATCTCACCAGGTAATTGTTGCAAGGATTAAATTAAGACGTGCATTTTATAAGCTTAAAGTGATGTCTGGAACAGAGGAAACACCAAATCTATTTTTGCTATTATTAGCAATTTTTTAATCTTAATTGAACTATAAATTGTGTTAATGCTCAATGTGTTTTCTGACAGATAGAGGTAGCCAATAAATAACAAGTCTGTCCTGTGTCCAACTTTTTTCTGTTCCCACTTCTTTCTCATTGTTTCCAATGTATTAACTTTGCTGCATTGTATAGATTCCTTTAAGTTGATCTGAATTCTTTCCAGAGCTGCACAGGACATAAACGTTAACAAACTAAACCCTAGATTTCTTACTTTTGTTAACACTTAGAGGAGGAAAGTGAAATAACAATGAAAATTCTATATATATAAATAGAATGTTCTCCCTTATACGATTCTCTTTCTTTGCTTCTGGCATAAAAGACGTAAACCTTAGCACCTAGGGTTGGAAGAACACACAAGCACCAACTAAGCTCCGTAAAACAGTTTAGCTTTGAACACCTCAATCAAAACTTTACAAAGGGAATATCCCTAATCTAGCTTCAAAATGCTCAAGCTGGGAATAGAGAGTCCACTCTGCTTATGGGCCTGAGAAAAGTAAGGACTCTGAATAAAAGCTACCACTGGTGGCCAATTATCAAGCGAATCCTTAAGACCCTTGATGTGATCATATATTTATCGAACAGTATTTAAAATATGGAATTATTTGAAAAAAATAAGTATGGTCATCATGATAACAGACTTATAACATTATCATGCCCAAGTTCAAAGTAAATTCATTTTGTTCATTTCAATAGCTATGCTGCCTTTTGTTTGCTTATCTTTATACTAAACTCTGAAGATCTAGAGACAATATTTGATCTATACCTCCAAAGTTTCTGTAATTGGGTAAGACTCACCAAAGTAGTCATGCTATATTACTAAACTTTCTTCATTATCTATGCAGTACAGATCCCAATTAGTCATTATATATTTATTTGTTTACATGTTTACTTTCTGACCCTCCTCTATGTCATCAGCTCATTGGAAGCAAGGTCTTGACTATTTCAGTATGTGAGTTCAGTTCCTGTACCAAATCCCTTCATATATTAGACACTCAAATATTTTCTAAGTAGTAATGTAGTCATATGTAAAGATAATAGAAATAAGCTTTCATGTATATAAACAATGGTCAGAATATATAGTGGGAAAATCCATTCCCAATGACAAAAGCAGTAATTCCAAGATGGATACAATACCTGAGAATTAACCTAATAAAGAATATGAAAACTGACTACATTTCTCTCTGTGATGGGCAGAGTTATGAAGGCTCTGAGATCTTCATTCCCTGGTGTTAGACCTTACACTGTCCCCTTCCCTGTAGTGTGACTAGTACCTATGACTAACTTCTAACCAACAGAATCTGGCCCCAGTGCTGGATGTCTCTCCCTTGATTAGACTACACTACCTGACAAATAGGACAGGTCATATACCATGATTTGGTTACAGAAAAAGACTCTACCTTAACAGATTGTAGGAAAATATGCTCCTGCTGACCATGAAGAAGTTGACATGATGTTAGCCACGTGGCAGGAACTGCGGGCGGCTCTCAGCATCTAGAAGCCAAAACGAAATTACTTCTTCCAACAGCCACACAAACTTGGGAGAAGAGCTTGAGTTGAGTCTCAGATGAGAACAGAGTCCAACAACTCTGACCATAACCCATGGGTCCTGAAGAAAAAACCTAGCTAAACCATGTTTGTGTTGCTGATCCAAAGAAACTTTGAGATAAAATGTGTGTTGTGTTAAGTCACTGCTAAGTTTGTGTCAATTTGTTACGATGCAATGGGAAACCATTACATTCATCAATCAACCAAAATCATGCAACACTGTGTGTTGCTAAGGCATGCCCATGACCAATTACCTCTTGTCAGTGAGAACCAAAATGGTCTGATGCCTATGGAGAAATCCGGCAATATTTAGCCCAATTACATTTACACTTGCCATTCGACCCAGCAATCTCACTTCTGAAAATCTAGCCCACCTTTGCATACATATGAAATTATATGGGTACAAAAGTTCTCATTTAAGCAATATATACAGTAACAATGAATGGACAGAGACCAAAGGTCTGACAATTGGCAATTTGGTTAAATTATCTAAGGTCCATGAACTACTATGTAAAGAGTTATGGGAAGATTTTTATATTAATGATATGGAAAAAAATTCTATAGGATATTTTACAATGTGGAAGAAAGTAAGGTTCAAGACAATATGTAAAGTTCTGCTCAGAGAAGGAATATTTATGTATTTGTAGAAACATTATTTTAAAATGGTTACCTCTAGGGAATAGGGAGAAACAAGATGGATGAGAATAGCAAGGGGAGCAAGTCCTCTCCATGAACACCTTCCCTTTACTTTTAAAACATAGAAATGTATTGCCAATTAAATGTCTTAATTTTTTAAATTTTTGAATGGATGGATGTAGGAAAATTGTATCCTATGGATGTATAATCAAGATGCCATAGTGAGACAGGGAAGACGGGTGTGCCAGAGTGACTTGGCTTCATGGGGGCGGGGACTCTAAGGGGGTTGTTGAAAAATGAACAAGAGTTGGCACAGATGACCAAGCCCCAGACAGGAATCACAGTAGTGCGAACTGGGCTCAGATTCACGGGGCAGTGAAGCCAGGTGTGACTCTCAAGTACAGAGGAACCTGTGTTATTAGAAGTGACGGGGTCCCGAGAGCTATGTAGGGAGCAGGGCAGGCAGAGACACATCAGAAGGTTCTTGGCAGCTCCTATAAAGAAGTTGGACTTCTTACTCTGCATCAGATTTATGTCTTAACTTGATCATTCTAAAAGTGATTTGGAGGATATATCAGAGAGGATCTGATTAGATTCCTGGGGCTGCCGTAACAAATTGTCATAAGCTTGGTGACTTAAAATAATAAAAGTCTATTCTTTCACAGTTCTGGAAGCCATAAATCTGATCCAAAGTCTGAAATGAGGGTGCTATCAAGGTCACACACTGCTCTGGAGGCTGTAGGGATGAATCCATTCTTTGTTTATTCCTGGTCCTCATGGTTTCCAGCATCCTTGGCTGTAGCTACATCACCCCCTTCTCTGCCATTATCTCCACAGGGTGTGTGTGTGTGTGTGTTTGTGTGTGTGTTTTCCCCTTCTGTATTTTACAAGGACATTAGTTAGTGGATTTAGGGCCCATTCAGGTGATCAAGGATGATCTCATCTTGAGATCTGAACTTTCATCAGCAAATACTCTTTTTCCTAATAAGATCACATCCACAGATTCAAAGGTTAAGATGTGGACATATATTTTGAGGGAATGGGAGGGAAACCATACTTGATAGTAGATACATGGAGACTACTTAGAAAGGGATAACAATTGACCAGATAAATATGTTCAATAGGTCCTCAACTTTTCTGATTAAAAACTTCCCAAGCAAAGATCCCACAAGCAACTCATGTTTTCCAGACAGCTACTCCACCTGTTCCTTTCTCTGATTCAAGTCCTCCACTCCTGACTGGATTTTTATTCAAGCCGCTGAATGTCTATTTCTAGCAAACACCTCACCTTGGCTAAATCTCTTAATACAAAAGCATTTTTTACTGTAAGGACATTTCTGGGGAAGACCTCAAAGAAATTCTTTCTCTGAAAGATAACCAGAAGCAGACAGAGGGTCTATAGGATACTTTGAGGAAAAAGCACCTGAGACATATAGCATTAAAGTTTCTAACAATATCTGTGAACACACAGAAATCCATGAAACCTAGATATAAGAAATTCATATAGTGGGTAGCATATTAAGATAGAATGCAGATGACCCAGGGACAAAGGAAATTTTTAAACGTCACATCAGTTGAGAGGGACTTCCAAATGAAGGTGAAGGACAAACAAGTATTAGCCTCCAAAAAGATCACTTTCTCCAGCTTCAGGTTAATTAAGTTGGCAAGAGCAATCCTCAGGCACATATTATGGTCACTCTCCTTGTGTCCCCAGCTAAATTTTAGTCATTGACCCCCAAGCTAATTAACCAATGCCCTAAGCGATACCTTGCTTTCTAATCATTTAGAAGTTGCTCATTTTCTAACAGCTAAATCTGACTCCAAATCACTCCTGTCCAAAAAATGTTTTCTGCAGTGAGGGAATGTCCTGTGTCTACTCTATTCAGTACAGTGTACAGTAGTGACATGTGGCTGCTGACCCTATGAACTGTGGTTGATGTGAGGGAGGAACTGATTTTTCAATTATATTTTATTTTAATTAACATATAAAAATAGCCAGATATGGCTCATGGCAGCCATATTGCCCCCTCCCTATTTGAACATAATTTCTAACTTGGTATCAACTTCAGTTTTGGACTATTGTGATATATTCTCCCTGCCCCCAAGAAAGTAGCCAATCTGCTGGGGCTCGTCGTTATTGATTATATTTCACTAGCATAAGCAAGAAGGGTTTCTTTACTCTGATACTGTTTAAAGATGTTATGAAAAAGACCTTGAAATGCCAACTAGATATTTTCAGAGAGATGATTATAGCTGTGGAACACCTAATAGTAAAAACAGCACTTTGCAAGTTTTTGGATAAAATGATTTTTTTTTAACTTCTATTTTTAGACAAGTAAGATTTCTTTAGCTTCTGGATATAAGTTCTACTATATGATAGAAACATGGACATTTATATACACTACCATTGTAACTATGGCATTCCTAGAGTTTCTTGCATTGTTTTCCTGTTACTACCAGCTTTTAAGTGGACTGAAATCGGCAATTTATTAAGAGGGCATCTAAGTCATTTATGTCCAGACTCATTCTCTTTCAAGGAATTCTTATAGCTATTTCTAAGAATACTAACAGGAAATCATTGTTTCAACAAGGTCAAACCTATAAAAAAATAGAAATAATATAGATAATGTAAGAATGAGCAAGATCAAATCTATACAGCTCTTCTCTCAGAAAAGAAACAGTTCTAAAACATGACCTTATTCCATGTCATTAAGACTTTAAAGGAATTGACTACACTGTCCTTTTTGTTGTCATTGGTTTTTTCTCTCTCTTATTAAATAAAAGCAATTGTGTGACAACAACAGCCACTAGGGGAAAAATAACTCAGTAGTACAGTTCTCAGTATTGGTTAGCCAAGCCAAAATTATTCATTTCTAATAGGAAACATCACCTAGGAAACAAAATGTTGAGAGCAGCTAGACATATTGGCCACAAAGTTTACATTTAAAATACATAATTGACAGATGAATGGATGGGTACATAGGAGACAGATGGATGGAAAGATAGATGATAGATTAATTTATGACTAGGGTTATTAAATGACTTTCAAATCCATTTGAACACATTGTTCCACCTATTTCTCCACAGATAACAGAGTTCTTTAAACTAAAATCTAGATTTTAAAGGGCCTGTAGGGTAAATAGTTTTCAGGCTTCTCTGCCTTCCCACCATTAGGATTGGGGCCAGATGGGGCACCTGAAGTTGTTACATTGTTGTAAGCTGACTTGTTTACTTCAGTGGGCCATGGGAGGAATATTGAGATAGTCACCAAGGGAAGCAGAAGTAGGAGAAAGGCAGGAGGAAGAAGGTGACAAAGAAAGCCAGGAGAGAGAAAGAGAAGCCCAGAGTGAAGACTTGCGGGGGCTTGGAGGCCTACTGGCCTCCTGTTCCCCCGGCACCCCTGCCTGCCATGTACCTAGTTGCCACACTACATGCAAAGCTCAATAAAAGCCTGAGAAAGCCATTAAGGGCTCCAGGATTCTCCTTTACCCTGTCTGTGTGGATCATAGACTCCTGCTCAGTGACCATACTGCCCCTACAGGGCCCTTAAGCCTCTGTTGAGAACAAGCGCCCTGGGATCAGGCTGCATAGTTCTCACCTGTCAAAACAAGGTGAGACATTAAGAAATACATTTAACTTTGTTGTATCTCAGTTTTCTCATCTGTAAAATAAGAAAAATTCTATCTACTTCATTAGGATGCTTCAAGAGTAAATGAGTTCATTATTGTGAAACCTTTAAAACACTATCTGGCATAAGTTTCCCTCACCACCAAGGTCATCAACAAGGTCATCATCATCAAGATCACTGTTATCATTATCATCATCATCTCACAGATGAAGATAGCAGTGTCCAGGTGGGGGACATGATCAACAGTCCAAACCATACCAGCAGCACACACAAAAGACCCTGCGTGTCCACCAGCCAGCAAGTGCTCTAGTCAAGCTTTCTGTATCACAGCATAGTGCTCTATGCTGTGTTTTTTGCTATACTTTCTTATTCATAAAGTCCTTATCAGGCACACAACTTGAGGAAAGAATCCAGAAATAATAAGGGCTAGCAATGTCATTTCTAGAAAGTCCACGACTAAAACCAGTCAATTCATTCTCACTACGGAAGGTCCCTGTACTCAGTCTGTCCCCATCTGCTGCTGTCCTCCCAATTCCTTTATATGAACAACTTTTCATTGCATAATAAACTCTAAAATCATATGAATTATTTAAAAACACACACTGGTTTATATTTCTATTATTCACATAAAATGTTACTTGGTAAATGAAAACATAAAAAGTTATAACAATAATAGCATAAT